TGTTTGGAATTGTCTGTGCCAATAATTTCTATCTGTTTTAATGATTTTCTTTTCCTCCAAGAATCTGAATGTAGGTGATGGACAAATACAAAAGCCAGAAAGAGTTCAAGTGGATTTGATAGTACGGGGTGATGAGAGAAATATTCCCAAATGGATAACGGTAACATCTTTCCCCTACCCAAAGTTATTTGCTAGTTAGAATAAAACAAGAGCTCTTTAACTGGGTAGCACAATGAATTCTAACACAACTTCTCTGTGGTTCTCCCATTGTTCTTCTTCTTGTTGTCTGCATAAATGATCTTGGGGTTTTGACAGCTAGGATATGTAAGAAACAGAGGAAATGATTTACAGATTTATTTTATTTTTTTTTTACTCTTATGCTTTGTTCTTTGAACCTTGATGTGCTTTTATTGGTCTTTGAGCTGTAAGTTTTCCAAGGATTCTAAATTTGAGTTTTGTTGGGAAAAAAAAAATTAACTTTCTTTTCGTTGTGTGGGGAGAGGAGGATCAGAGGTGAAGTGTTACGATACAGAGTTCAGCTTCTGTTTTCTGCTGAGGCTGCCAGAGATGTCTAGATTATTCTGGTGTGTGTGTGTGTATATCCATGGAGAATTTCTTATATTTGGGAAAGGGATTAATACTGATACATAATGTAGCAGTTGAAAAAATGATGACTAGCTTTCCAAGCTTAAACTAGTAACTCCTCTAACTTCTTACTGAGGTCTTAGACTGGATGGTTTCCACTTTGTCTTAACTTGGCTGAGCCCCTAAATACCATAAGTGGACATGACCCAGAGTAGCACGAGGAGAGGGAGTCACAAGTATGGTTTTGATGTAATCTTTAATGTGGAAAACCCTCAGAACCTTAGATTGTTTTTTTCTCTATTTGTTTTTCAGATAACACCTCCACGTCTGTCGAAAGGTCATCGTTTAAGTTCGCCACTGCAAGAACTGCTCGGTATGGTTAAGCCTTTTGTTTGTTGGTCTCATATTTTAGTTGCTAAATGTGGTTTTGTTAAAATCCATCAGTAAAAAATATTTCCTTTCTTGTAATCTCCAAGGTATTATTTTTCGAACTGTACAGTTTGAGAGGCTGGATTTCAAAGGAAAGTGAGACATTATTTTTCTGATGGCAAAATGGATTTGAAAAACAGGAAATAACACGCGTACATAAATCCAGCTCTTCTTACATAGCCTCAGTCACAAGTATGCGTAGTTACAAAATTCAGCAGCTTTTAGCTCATTGAGAGCAATAATTTTAGTGCTGCTTCTTTTAAACTCAAGGGTTGTTATTCAGTGGCATTGGGTATGCTGGTAACTGGTAGTCTAAGTGGTATTTGCTGGTAAACTTTCTTCATAAGCTTTCCAGACTTGGGGAAAGCCTAAGATTTCTTGTGTAAATATTTTAAGCTTAGCAATTACAAAAAGCATTATTTTCATCATGGTTTATGGAAGCAAAAGATGCATTTAGACTAGTCAAGTACAAAGCTTTCAAGGAACATGATAAAAAAAAAAACAACCTTTTGGATCAGGCTATTACTTCTGATCAGGAGTCACATAGGGCAAAGAAGTCTTCCTCTGCAATGAGTATCTCTATATTATGCTACTTTGAATAGTGGTTTGTTTTTTTCCAATACATTCAATTTCTTTCCTCTATAATATGTGAATTCCATATGGTTAGAAAGTGTTTTTATTTTTTCCCTAGTTGATGGCATATTAATCATCCATTTAGCTTGGCACTAACACTTAATGAGATATGCTATTGCTGTAAGGCTATCTGGATCATATGCAGTTGTTTTTAAGTCATACAATATATTACTGGAAGTGCCTTAATAGGTTTGGATTTTTTTCTGACTTCTGTTTTTGTTTCTTGACTTGTGGGTTTTTGTTTGTGTTTTTTTGAATAGGCGATCAAGCTGCTGTTTGCAGAAAGGAGCTAGAGTTGTCAAATGAAAGTTCTTCATCCAAATATCTACAGTTGCAGCATTCTCATGTTCCCATTTCATCAAATACAATAACATCCCCTAGACATCAACCTCTTCCAGAACTGAGCACGACTTTGTGTGATAGCATCCATGAAGAATACCTGCCTGCAGATGAGGGATGCTCCTGGAGCAATACAACTCTCGCAGACTTGTATCCCGCAATGGTGGAGATACTTACAAAGCTCATGGCAAAGCAGTCTCATAGAAGAGTGTTAAAGCACATTTTTGGACACTTAAGGTCCAAGAGATGGCATTTTAGAAGACCAAAACTCAATATCACTGTAGACAAAATGGCAAGGTCCAGACCCTGTAAATTAAAGAGAGTATTTCGCAGCCCATATAGCTGTAGAAGTGAAGACAATCAAGCACATCTAGCTGTAGAAGTGAAGACAACCAAGAATCCAGCTTTTGGAAATGAGACCAGAGAATTCTGTTTTGACAATTACCTCATTAGTAATTCTTCTGGTGTGGTGCCTTATGCTTATACTGATACAAATGAAATCAAAATGGACTACTCTGACTCAAACTCAGAGCAACATTTGACATCTAGAAAGGGCCAAGTAGTCTGCAAACACACTGCTTTTCCTGATGTTATGGGTAGAATGGAAGAGACATTTATAGTTGAAGATGAATTACAGCCTACTGCCTCACCAAAAAATTCAGAATACACAGGAAGTGAAAAATTTGCTTACAAAAGTTTCTCAGAACCCAGTTTTATAACATCCACTGTCAGTTCAGATTCAAGAGTGCCTCATCTTGTAAAAGAGAGTAAGACTCAGAAATCCGACTTTGGTGTCTGTACCTCAGAATTGTGTTCATGTTCTTGTAGTTCCCATGGCAATAGTAACAATTCTATACCTATTACAAATTGTTCTCCTGCAAGATCATCAAATACTGTGTTCAAATATCCTGAAAAAATAATTTCTGAAAGGCAAACTTCTTTCCAGCACAAAGACTGGTTTTCCTCCTGTTCTATGAAGCAGAGTCCTTCAAAGATGCCCAATAAATACAAAGATGCATTTGAGGAATTCTACTACAAAGTGTGTTCTGAAGAATTCCAAAAGCCTTTGACATTGACAAGACCTCTTTTAAGCTCTCAGAACCTTGAAGAGAAAGGAAGTTTAGTGAAACGTAGTTTAAGTGATATTGGGAGGTCTACTAAACAGTGTGATAAAGAATTTGACAGGCTTTATGAAAAACTGTCTAGGGAGTCTTTTCCAAAATTTCCTGGGATTCAGAGAGCTTCAAATTTGAGAAAATATGAAGAAATACAGATGCCTGAAACTGTAAATGCTCTTGTTAATTCTCCTGTCCGAACTTACTCTGCAATTTCCAGAGTTAAAAGAGCAGGAAGTTCTCAAAACTATCTTCCTTGTTCACCATTAAAGCGACTGAAACTTACACCAGAACATTGTTTTTCTTCAAGAAAATATCAGGAGATTTTCCACAGTAAAACAGGTCCTCAAACAGCTGGCATGGATTTTCTGAGCACATACAACTGTAACAACTCCAGCTTTTTTAAAGATCACAGCTATCATTATCAGGTATTTAAGAACATTGGGTTAAAAAAAAAAAAATGCACCTTTGGATATTTGGAGAAGGGCTTAAGAATGGATTAGAGCTGCAAGCTGTTGGAATTAGTGATAGCATACTTCCAGTGCTTTTTGGTCACTAGGGAGGTTTTACAGCTCTGGGGGCTTGGGTATCCTGGATCATGTGAGGAAGCTCTCTGTACTTAATGAATTTGAAATGGTTCTAAATGAAGGATTTGATTTTATTTTAATAGACAATGTCACTGGTTAAAATGGTCTCAAATAGTGACTCAGTTATGGTGTTGTCCTTCTGAAACTGTATTAATTTTATAGATGGACAAGGTGAAGCAAGCAAATTAATCTTTATAGGGTTTCACAGGAATCATTAGACTTGTTGATTTAAATCAGACACTTATTTCCAAGTTGACAGACATTTCTTCTGTGGCAAGCTGTGAAACAGTATATTTTTTCATGAATGTTGTATGTTGCTGCTTGATTTTCAGGGCTCTGGATCTCAAGATTCTTCAGATAAAACTTTTCTTTGTATTCCTGGCACTTCCCTGCAAGGTTAGTTTCAGACACTTTATCAATTTGCACAGGAGTATTTTCTTAAAGGAAATTTGCCCATTGAAGTATTTCCAATGTTAAAATAGGCTAATACTTAAACAACAGATTGTAATGTTCATGCTACTCAACATTGTTCTTGCCCTTTTCTTCCACTGCTTTTCATCACCAGAATCTAGGACTGCAAGTGAGCACTATGGGTGGCCTGGGGCAATGGAGAATTGCAGCTCTCCCAGAAACGTGAGGAAGCATCACTCAAGGTAATAATAATAATAATAATAGCCTTTTTAAAAAAGAGATTTCAAAATGAATTCTTACTTCTCTATGTCTGTATTAAAGACATGAAAGTGACATGCATACCTCCATAATGAAAATGAGTGTGGGAGAGCCCAAGCTAATCACACCTGCAGATTTGAACACTGAGAGGGAAGTGTCTGTGGTCAAAACTAGCCAGACTACAGCAAGAGAGCTGCTGAACATAAGATAGTAAGATGACCTAACTGAATACCTACTGTAGTCCTTATGTGGTGTTCATTATAGAGGCATTTATTATTTTAGATCTGCTATGGAATTGTTTTGATTGTGGTTGTGTGTTTAAGCTTACAAGTTCTCTCAGAGAGTGCAGCATATTGTCATTTAAAAGGACTTGCAAAAGTTGGCCTCAAGTTGGGAATTTTGGCTCTGTGTAAACAAGCAGTGGCTCTGCTTGGAACATACGGACTTCTTCTCCTCCTGCTATTATCACTACTGGCAGTGTATTTAGATCTCTGGAAGCAGGACACTCTTTCCAGTTTCCTGAATACTGGCCTAATATGTCTGTTTTTCATAGAAAATATGTAACTTTCAAAGGATTATCAAGCTTCAGATATCTTGGGTTTTTAATTACAAGCATTTAATATTCTAAGGATTTAAAAATCATTAAAAGCTCTCTAAAAAAAATCCTAATTTTATTTACCAAAACATTTGACATGCTTTTTTGCCAGAAGTGTAATTTGTCATATAAGGTTATGCTGGCTTCCCAAAATAAGTCAGGAAAATTTTTCACTAAACTTGAGATGATCATAGGAGGTGATATGAACTTTTTCTGACAATGTTTGAATTAGATATTCAAAGGAAGGCTGAAAGTATTTTTAAACTACTTGTATGGAGGATTTAACAAGAAGAGCTTAATGATGTGAAGAAAAAAGTTTCAGTTTAAGCAAAGATGGAATTGAAATTTAGAGGCTTGTATTACAAATGCATACAGTATTGATAAAGATTATATTTGGATTATTTTTTATATAATGGAAGATTGGAGACAAGCTGATGAGTGTGCAAGGACATTTCTGTGATGTTGAGCATACCCGCTTAGCTGAGCAAAGTTCTGCTCAGTTCTTGGATTTCCTTTTGGTTTTTGTCACTATGTTATCCTGTCTCCCCATATAAAATAACCTTTCCTGTAAGATTAGTTATTGTTCTAAAGGAAAAGGTTTTTCTTTCTTTAATGCACATAAGTAGAGAAATCAAGATTTCAGAGTTTTCTTCTAAGTCATCTGGAATAAAATATATTTCTTTGTTCTTTAATTACACAAAGACATGTTTGCTGATTTGTAGCCAAAATGGACTGTCAGCTGGAAAGCTTCCTGAGGCCCTGTGGTGTGATATTTTTAGCTTTCTATGGTTCCCAGCAGTGAACTTTTTTAATGGCTTCAGATCCCTCAGAAATTTAATGCCTAAGCCATGTGGCAAAATGCTGTATGTTGTAATGAGCCATTGTGAAAAGAAAAGGAATATTGTCTTTCTATCTGGAACCAGATTGCCTTTATCTAGAAGATGATTATGAAAGAGATTTCTGAAAAGGAAATGTTCATATCTAATGAACTTTTCTTCAGCTCTGTGTGAATGCTGTCCTACAGCTTTACTGCTATACTTGTCAGATGTAAACCAAATTAGTTCAAAATATGACAGAAAATTTATGCAATTTCTTAAGTAATATGCAAGGTGTTCTCACTTGTGTCTTTAACTTTAAACTAGTTGTGAATGCATTCCAAGATTACATCTCAAAGTTTGATAGATATACATAACTTTGATTATAGTAGCACTAGTGAGGCATTGAAATGACATAGCATGAAAAGCCTCCTCTCCATCTGAAAGCACATAGGAAAACAGACAAGGAGCCTTGCTGCTATTCAGTCAAGATGTTCAGATACCTTGCTTTTTCAATTTCATTCTGTTCATTGGAGTTTCAGGAAATACAGTATTTTTGTGTAATTTACTTCCTCATCTTAAACAGAAGTTTTGGGGTTTTTTTCTTCAGGGTATACAGAAAACTAAGCTACACTGATGAGAAAGACCAATTGTATGAATCCCTTCGATGACTGGTTAAAGCTCACCAAGAGGCATTCATGGACAGCTACAGATAAAACAATTTTATATAGGTTGGGTTTTATTCAGTATTGTTTCTTCTAAGAATCAAGGATTTATAATTATATGTAAGCAATACACAACTCGTTCTGATTTATACTTTGCTGTAAGATAAGTCTTTGGGAAACGGTTTGTCCCTTTTGACTGGGCACTTCTTAGTGCCACTTAATTTGTGACTAAGTTGGAATTTTATATTTGATTTTATTTGTAATAACAGAATGTTCTTTTTACTTGCTAATAAGCTTTAATTCTTACTGTATTAATAATAAGGAACAAGTTCATTTCCCTAAATTGCTGTCTTTTCATGCTTTTTTGGATGTATCAGTACAGACCCCAAATCACTGCTATATGTTATAACCTGAGTCTCTATGCAATGTTAATATTAAAATTTTCTAAGTAGATCACCAAAGTTGATCGTTCAATAAAATCTTATACTTTTTAGTAGAGCTGGTAATTCTGTTCCGTATTTTGACAGAATTCTACCTGACACAATGTATTTTCTAAATAAAAAAATTGTTCTGAACAAATATCTGCCTTCAACATTTTTATTTCACCTATGTGAATTCTCAGGAGGACTTTGTATACCTGCATGAGCAAATCCATGAGAATGAGGTATGAGGGTCCCACAGGTTTTCACCACTGTGGCCTTTCTTGGCAAGGGGATTGTGTTAGTGGTGTGTGTCAGATCAGACACTTGATATTTTATCAGCACTGCCCCTTGTTAAGTTTCTGAACTTCAGAAAAGGAAGGGATTGGTTTTCCTTGGCTTTACTTTATTTACAGACACACAGGAGAATTTTATTTTGGCTCGTAAAGCCAAAATCCTATCAGAAGTATTGTTCTTGAATAGGACAAGAAACCAGCTCTAGTGATGTTTTCTCTGCAATAAGAACTTCTGCACACACATTCCATCCTTTATAATTTGGATATTACATTTCTTTCCATGACAACAATAAAATATTGTCTTTTAGAAATGCACTTGGGTCTCTTTTTTTCTTCGTTTTCCAGACATGGATGCACTGTAGGGAATATGTTTTATGAACTGTCTTCCTCTTAGATTTTTTTGAGGTAATTATTTCCCAGTATTTCTTGATATACCAGTACTGAGAGACTGCATAATTCATTGTTTTCTGTTCTAAAGTAACTTAGAAGTCAACTGGAATTGGGGTTTGGACCTGTTCTGAATCTAGATATGACTTCTACACAGCAGCTTTAATGCAGCTCACACAGGTAAGGAAGGTAAGTTTGTTTACTCAACATGGCAAAATTGTCTTCATGAAGATTACTTTGAAATAATTTAAAGATGTCATTCTTGGAAAATCTTTGCCATGTTTTGGGTGCTAGCAGTAGCAAAAAAGGGAGAAAGTTTCTATTTTTAGAGTTGATCTTCCTACACCCATGTGAATGAGCAGACTCTTAAATTATGATATAAGCAGAAGTCTTGTTTTTCCTAATGATACTGTTTAGCCAGGTACACCTGCAGTGATTATCAAATGCTATAATTACTGCTGGAATACATCTTTCTGAACTTACAAAGATGTTAATGGTGCTACCTGATCTCTTGTGTTTTGAGTTCCATTCTTCTACCCTTCCAAATAGTTTTGCTTTTTCCACCAATTTCCTCTTGTTTACTCATTCTTTGCTTTTCCATTGAACTGGTACTTGAATGCTAAGCTTGCTGTTAATAAAAAACACTTTACACTGCTTCTCTTTCCTGTGAAAATTTTTTTAAAGAACAGTGGTAAACAGATGAGGATACTGAGACAGTGTAAACCTAGAACCCTTCCTCTTATATTGTAATTAGTTAAAACTTGCTTTATATATAAAGAATTTAATTAGAATATGATTGTTCCATCTTCAAAGCATTAGAGAAAGACCTACATAAACTGTGTTGAACATGTTTTTTCATGTAAGGATTCAGCTACCCCAAAAAACTACTCCAAAAAAACCTCATGATAAAAAACCTAGGTCGCTCAATTGCTTATTTAAGCAGATACAGGTTAAAGAGCCAAAAGAATAAAGCTAAATTTAAATGTGGCAGTATTAGAAATGCCTTGGAAATAATTGATAAGGTTATTAAAGATCATCCTGTCTGAGAGCCACAATCAATAATTCTATTGGAGATAGTTATTAAATGTGGAAAGGAAGTGTGTGCACATATATATGTATATGGAGAATGTTTACAAAAATGCCCTGGTCTTTGAACAAACTACATAGCTGGACTAAACATTAAAGACTTAGAATAGAAAGGTAACTAAATAGACTTAAATCCCATGAAGTGAATTTACTGTTATATGTACAGTCAGTGAGAGAAGTGGATACTTTATTTCTATTAAATTAGTTATCAGATTGAAATGACAGGTTGAATTTAACCACTGATTTTTTTTGATTTTTTTTCTCTCCATAAATTGTCTCATCCTTTGATGTCTTCATCCACTTCTGCTGTTAGGTATTGGCCCTCTGTACTGTGGATCTTTTCCAGGTCTATCTCTTTCAGGACCTGACACAGCTTTGGGGCTCTGTGTGCTTCAGAGTTCCAAGCTCCTTGGCACTGCTCTGTGTGGATTTTAAAGGCTCTTCTAGCCTGTGTTCTTGAGAAGTCAGAAGTGTCTGACACCTAGAGGCAGACACATCAACTTGCTTTATTGTTTCCTGCAGCAACTACTTAATGATTCCCAGAATATAAAAATAGATACCCACTCTATAAAACTTACCATTTAAAGAGTTTAGTCTTCAAATGAATGTGCACAGTGTAAGTGAAGGGTTTGGGGAAATAAAAAGCTTTTTGTGTTTGTAAAACAGTTTGTAAGGATGGCAGTGGAAAACACAATAGGAATGTAAACATAACAGAGAGTATTAGAAGGAAGAAATCCTCCCTAGATTTATTGTTAGAGATGGTTTTATAATATCTTTGTGGACCCTTGAATACAGCTGTGTACAGTGTTACACTAATAAGGAATTGAGATATGAGACGTATTCCAATATTGTTAGAGGAAACTTAAGGCTATATGAAGATACTGCTAAGTCTTGTGATATGTACAATTACTACTTCAAATCAGCTGTTCAATTTTTCTCCAGTCATTGCCATAGACCAGTCACAGAAAGTTCACAGTGTGGAACAACAGATCTGTTCTTAATGGGTAAAAACAACTAATCACCAAGTGTGCAAGTACCAAACACAATCTCATTTCAAAAGTATTGAAGTCAATATGGAATAGCTGTACTCTGCTAGAGCTCTATAGACAGTGAGGAGGTCTTTTAGGACTGCTTGAAAGCTGATGCTTGTTTAGAGCAGGATCAATTTTTACTGGAATCCCTTCCATGTGAATGCCGAGTACCAACTTCTGCAACTTTTACATTGTCTTCAGAAGAGCAGATCCATGAGTGGCAGCCTGGACCTATGTCTTGCTTAGTCTATAAACATGCTTGGCAGACAGTTTGGAACACTTAACTTACCCATTTCATACCACAGATTAATATGTCAGCTTTCCAGAATATTATCTCTAATCATTCCATGTTCCCCCAGAATGAGAAAGCAAATCTCACTTTATGGTTACATATTTGGTTCATTACCTATTCGGTTCTCCCCTTTTTTACTATGAATCAAGCCCATTAATCTGATGGGGTCATCATGAATGGCTTCTACTTTTGCTGTGTTTTCGGCCGCCAGCTGCTCACTATTGAGGTAAATAATTTTGGAAGCTGCCATGGGATTAGATGATCTTTCTTCCTCATTTTCTTCCAATGAAGGATCTTTCTTTCTCCTTGGTTTTCTGCGTTTTCCCTTGACACTGTGATCAAGTGAGGCATAACACATCTGATTGGCAGACTGCACCTGGCAGAAAATTCACGTTAATGCTCAGTAGTTATCCTTGCTTTAAATTTATATCTAAGGCTTCAAGTATGTCTACACTAATCATAATTCTTCCTGAAATTTGCTTAAACTACCTGTAAAACAGTTTGTTAAAAGTACAAATTATTAAACTGTGGGAGAATGAAAAACAGATCAATATAAGCTAGTGGTAAATGGCTCAGTGGCAATGTGGAAAAATTTATCAAGGTATCATTGGAAAAATTCTCTGTGGGAAGGAGGGAAGCTTATATAATAAATAAATCCAGGTTCTTTGGGATGCAAAACATTATTTGATCTGGTTTTCTTCTCACTTATTTTTTAGTTAGAATGCGGTTATTAACAACGTTATTAACAGGCTTTATCTGCAGAAAACCAAAGATGGATGATTCTTGTCTGTAGATACGATCTCATTTCCAGTGCAAAATGTATGCTTTTTGTGTCTTTCTCTTGGCTTTTTGTGCTTTGCAAGCCAGACCATCAATGATTACTGACATTAGAATGTCTAGATTAAAAGGTTGTTCTTTTCCTGCTGGAAATTCCCTGTTGTGAAAGTCTGAAAATCAGTCCTTATGAAATATGTGGCAATCGACTCAGGAAATTGATGCTAGGAATGGTTCAATGTCAGGCAAGTTTCATTTGAAGCTTGCATGCTTTTAGGCATACAGGTATCTCAACAAAGTACAAATCAATAGGTAACAATCTTTGCCTGGTTAAGGCATATAGATTTTGCACTGGACAGAAGAGAGCCTCATGAGCATCAAGTGATGCAGCTTGTGTTTTCACTTGTTTGATAACTAAACCAAATAAAATTAATTCTTTACATAAGCCATGGCCATGGATGCAAATTTAATTCCAAGTGATCTGCATATCTGTGACTGAGCTTTATTATGCTGTATAGTGTGTAACTGAACTGTCTATAATTATGCTTCCTTATTAATGACTCAAATTGAATGGGGCATCAAGTTTGTACTGAAATGCCTTGATGAACTGAGATATTAATGCATGGTAATTTTTGTGACAGTGTGAAGATTTTTGTTATATATTGTTATAGGATAAATAAAGGAGCTCTGAGACAGACCATGTTACCCTAACTCAGAAATCTATAACTAAAATTAAAGATACCTGTAGCTGGTTAACTGGTCTTTGAGGCTGGGACTTCATCTGCTCGTAACAACATTCTTCTGTAATTTATCAAAGTAGAAAAATCTTTTTATTAAGCCACACTACTGAGTCTTAAAAGATCAGACCAACAGAGTCTTTCTGTTAGAGAATGCACTCCCCCCAGTTTGCTTTGGTAGGATGTTTGTGCTTGTTTTGAAATCACACACAGATCTCTCTCCCTCTAATTATAGAGAGGTAAATAGCTAAAGAACTCAGACACATACTGTGAAAATGAAAATCATTTTGTGTTCATATGAAGGAGAGGTTTCTCATAATTCAGTATATGGGCATCATTTTAGAGTGATGGAAGGACTTCTCGCAATTTAGAGGTAGCCACATACTGATGTATTTTTCAGCACAGGCAGCCTTTTCTTTGGCTGAGAAAGAGGTTGTGAGTTGCAGCAGCTGGTAATTAAATTCTATTCCTGAGTCTACTTCAGTTCCCCTGCAGTTCAAGTGCTTTAGTTTTGCTTAGCCCCAATTATGGTTTGCAGAAAATGTTGTGTTCTTGTTACTTAAATAATACTGCCTTAACTCTATAAGGGCTTCAAGAGAGAAACCCTCGGCACATCTAGCTCTCGCTGCAGTCCTGTGATGTTACAGCCTTTAATGTGGTGTCTCTCTGCCAAGGATTGTTAACTTGAGCACAGCAAAGCAAAGCCAAGCTGTCTGCCCACCATTCAGCTGCTGGGCTTCAGCACATTTGTCAGTGTTGCTGGTGATATGTGGATAGCAACAGCAGAGAACTGGTATGTGTTTGTTTCTGCCTGCTTTGTGGGAGCACTGACCTTGGACCGTGAGTAATTTGTGTTTTAGATTGCTTTAATAGGCAGGGATCAAGCTGTTGTTTCAGTTAGTGCAGCTTTACATTTAGACAAGCTCTTTGTTTTGAGATACTTGGCTGAGCAGGACCATATGGACTGTAAAAAATCAAATTCTGTATGATATCTGTTCTTACAAACAGTAGTGCAGTATGAAGGTTTGCATTTCTCTCCCAAGTACATTTTAATGATTTCAATTATATCAATAGTTGAAAAGATGTAGATTCTCAAGTTTGCCATTTGAGAAATGCAAAATATGTCAGTCAGTCATTTTTTAATCATACATTTTTATAGCCACTGTATAGACACATGTTCCTAAAATGAAGCTTACCTAAAATATCTTGATTGAGATTGCCATAAACTGGATAATCTTCTGTGTGATAGCCATCATAGCTACAAGGGGAATGAAAAAATACTTCTAATTCACAGAATATGCTTTATTTAGCAACCCAATATAATAAGTCTATTTTAACCCCAAGACAACTCTATTTTAGCACATGTTTTATGCACATATGCAGACTGTGCATGTATATTTATATATAGCAGATTGTATGTGATCTTACAAACGAGATCCAAGATATCAGCAGGGGCAGAATTGGCAGTATGGGTACTCTCAGGAGAGATTTATTACCTAGCCCAGAACTGAACTCTTCTTTCCTGTCACTTCATTAAGCACAAAGCTAGTCTCAAGACTACTGCATGATTAAGCTACAGTTTGAGGTAGGGTAAGAAATGTTAGTGATCACTGAAAGGAACCCAGTTCACATCCTCTGAGACCACATTGCAATACAAACAGGAGCACCATATGTGTCTTTTGGGGTGATGTTCTTAAAAGGGCCCCTCTTGGTTCAGCTAAAATTCTTCTGTCAACACAGAGAAGTCCAAAGCAGAGTTCAGCTTCGCATTTTTAATTGTATGTTGTGTTTTTGTGTTGTGTTACTTGAAAATGTTTCTAAGTGGGTTTGTGAAATGGGAATTGTTAGTGGGAAAGCGCTGTGTAACCTTCCTACTGTACTGTAAGATATTACATCTTGTCAAGGGTGTGAAGTCATGCTCTAACACCACATTCAGTATTTTTCATCTGAACAGGCAGTAATGGACAAATAGAGACTTCCCAGTTTCAAGAAAATTTGTAATTGAGAATTGGTGTGTGTAACAGGAGCAGGATTTTATATTTCTGTTTCAAGGGCCTTTTATATTTGGGTTGAGATGAGACTATCCATTTCTGTTTCCTAAAATTTGGGCTTTGCTTGGGGTTTTTTTTCCTGTATGGCATAAGAGCAAGAGAGACTTGAAACAGATTTGTGTAACAGATCATGAGGTAACCTGCAGCTGTAAACAGACTGTTTTATGGCTTTTGGATGCCATGTGTAAGAGGTGGTTATGAAATGTAAATACATGTAAATTATTGCTTCACAAGTATTAACTATCAGACTATAATTGTCACTGTTTTGTGAAAGTTGAGAGTTCTTTTAAATTATTATAGCATTATTGACTTTAAGTGATAGGTAATGGTGGTTTAGCTCAGTATCTTGTACTTTCAGAGAAAATTATAGTATTAGCATGTAATTATTTCATTGTTGATAAAATGACTGGAGGATGTATTTCACGTGAAATTTTTTCCCTGGGTTTTTTTGAAAACTTTTTTCTACAGCCAACATTTCCAAGTACACTGCATGAAATACTGAATTTTCCTCTATGCCATCCCTCCAAAGCCGTCTGTCATTATTTATTATATATTTTACCCTAGCCAGAAAGAAACTTTTTATTCAACTTACCTTGGATTGTTCTCTTCGTAGTCTTTATCCATTTTAGCTGGAAAATTTATTTAAAAGAAAAAGTTAAGAGAAAATGAAACGTTACTTTAGGACACTTCAGATAATTGTCTCAACAGGCAAGCTTTTGATCTTGTTTTAGAGAACACAGTTAAAAGCTCTGGCTCTCAGGATCTTCAGTTGTCCCTCTACATTTCTCAAATACTTTTGTCAAATACAAGAAATGTTTGTGTTGTGGCCCTGTGCTGTGGCTGCAAAGTCTACATGAGTTTACAGTACCAAAAACTGTATTGTAACTCATGTGATTCGTTTTTTTATTTCCTCCACTTTCTGCTTCTTGCTCATCTTTTTCTCTCGGATTTTCTCTGTCTGGGGAGGTAAATCATGTTAATATTACAAAGTGATGGTTTTATTTATTTTACTAGTTCTTCTGGCATGTCTGAAAAAGAGATCTTGTGATCCACACAGATGAAGAAACTGAAGCAGAGATGCAATGGCTACAAAGAGATTTCATGCTAGAGCTTGATTAATAATTTAGGAATGCCTGACTTTAAGCTCTGCTCCAGGACTCCAGAGTTTACCACAGTAAGCTCCAATTTGATGAGTAATGCAGCATCAGCCACTCTGACCTAAACCTTGGTCAGGTTAGTTTTGTAAATGACTGTGATTCTTCCTCATTGTAGCATCTGCCTAATAATCCTAAAAACACAAAATAAACCAAAAAAGTCAACCCACACCCATCCCAAAACACTCCAGTAACTCTCTTAATATCCTCTGACTATCTGATTCTCTAATACAGATGCAGTTTTCCCTGTGTAAAGGGAATGGTGAGGATTGTACAACTTCCCAACCACAGAATTGCATGCATAAGACCAGTTGCACTGACACAATCTGTCAAAAAGTAAAAGATAATTTCAAACAAAACCAGAGTTTGATTGTAGTCATATGAGAGACACATTGGTTTAAGAAATAGAGTAGAATCCCATTATGAAAAGCAATTAGAAGGTTTTTCCAAAGTCCACTGCTAAGACATAAAGTCTCTATGAAATCTGAAATTCAAACAAGCATTCAGGAATTTGGGGAGAACAAAATTTCCTCAAATGTATTTTGTATCAATGTGTCTACTTAAAATAATTTTTAAATGGAAGTATAAATAAATAAGCAGGGATAGGAAACATATAGTTCCTAGGAAAGGAAATTGCAGGCATAAAATAAATTAAAGTATAATAAATATACATAAATTTAAAGTGTATTTAAAATATACTTTAAAAATTTAGTCAGAACTAAATTCCTCTTGTTCTGCTGTTTTGTCTTCAGAGAATGGATTTGGGTAGCTGATTTTAGCAGTGGATTGGTCAGTTAGCAATCATTCTGTAATCATACCTGACTCTTCTAAAAATTTTTTAAAGCTATATCCTCTCTAGTAAAACCATTCTTGCCAAAATAAAAGTCAACTCAATATCTCTGAGTAAGGATGGCTTTAAACACTGAAACTCAATTTCTTTCAAAGAGACATTACTTACCTTGCTTCTTTTTTATACAGTGTGAAATATTCAATGTCAATGAAACAAGCAGAGCCAAACTAAGGAAGGCCAAAACTCCCCAGACAGAAAAATGGCAATCCATTCCTGTAACTGCAAGAAAATTTACTGTTTGTGTTGTCTAACAATATTCTTTGTGCTTGGCTGAATTTTGCTTTCTGTAATTGAAGCTGCTATTTTGTTGTTTTCTCTTTGACAGCTACTGCCATACAAGCTAAATAATTAATATCAAAACCAGATGCTAAATAATAAGAAAGCAACTTTAATAAACTGTTAGCAGAAATACTGTTTCATAGGAATTCAGCCAAAGATTAAGCTATTGGTTTGCCTGTAAGTTGCAGTAAAAATCAGAAATTAATAAAAAAGTAATTTTACTGAATAACTTTGAAATTATTTTTGCAGTTGTCTTTAAGTTAGTATTTGTGGTAAATCAAGTAAATTCTTAGCTACATTCTAGAGTTCATGAAAGTAGTTCTGAATTTAGTCAAAACAAATTTGCTGGATGTGTCTCTGAATAGTAGCTAAGACTGTAACGTTTTAACAATCCCTGCAAAAGAAGTCAAAATTTGTTTATGTTTTATAACAGTGTTTTCCACCTATTAAAACCACTTGTACTTATTTTCTTGCCTGAGAAACCAGAGGAAGTCAGGATAAAGGATAAGCATCAGCGGGAACCAGTGGAGCCCCAAGTATTGCTGCAAGGAAAAGTTGGAACAGCTCCTGGAAGATCACTTGGTAAAAGGCAGGTGTACTTATTTCAACCAAGTCTTTTGCTTTGAACTTGCCTCTCCTTGCAATAAGAAAGACAGGAAAGAGCTCACCTGCACAAAATCTATTTTTTTCATTTAGTTAATTCTTTGATTAACCTAGATCATACAAATTTTCCACCACAAACCAAACCATGCTGAAGAAAAGAGCCTGTTTGTGGCTGTCTAGCGGCCAGGGTGATCAGCGCTGCTGCGAATGGCCTTCCTTGACAGAGGAAGCACCGACACAAATAAATGAGTGCAAGGAGCTTGCAGCTTGTTTCTTGACTTTCCCCAGAGGTATGTTTCATGTTCTCTGAGATTAGGAGTGTTTGAAATAAAGCCTGGTGCCCAAAACTAATGAGCTCCTCTAATAGTGCATAAAAAGAGATGTGTAGCTGGAGCAGAGCAGTCAAGGGGCTGGATTGGACAATACTGATCCTTAATGCATTTTTTTGCTTTTTGACATATCTGGAGTCCCTCAGGAAGCTGACATTTTGGTTTTTTCTAAAGTAAAGCTGAGTTAGAGGAGTAGAGGAATGCACTTTTCCATGCTGCTGGCCAGGAAGGGTGGCAATGCATTTGCTCCTGCTGAGAAGGCAGAGCTTTGTTCCTTGACTGACCAGCTCCAGCTCAAAACCTTCTTACAGGTTTTGACCCCTCGTTGTGTTGGTGTTGCCAAAGCTCTTTTTGTTTCGTTATTCCAACCCCCAGATGTTTTTATAATGACTAAACAAGATAAGATAAGCCCTGGTAGTAAAAAATCACAAATCACCTGGGCTTCTGAGATGCAGGTTTCTTTCCTGATCAGAACTCTCTTTTAAAAGGAACAAAGCAAAGCAAATAAGTTGTCATTTTCTGTCAGACTTTTAACTTTTTTTGCACATGGTACTTTCAGAGACCATTTATTCTTTTTTTTAAATTAAACATCCTGTTTCCCTTCCTTTCTACCACTTGAGATCTCCCAAAGGTATTTGGGAGTTCTTTCTCACTGCAATGCTACTTTTCATGTTGTAAGGCACTTTTCTGCAATGAGATACAGAGATTCATGAGGAGAGACAACATCTCCATGGAGCAGCTATACATCATTCCAAATTTTCAGGGAAGGAATTAAAAGAATGGGTGATCCTTTGCTGAGAAGATGTTGTCAGGACGCATCAAGAATCACCAGTCTTTGGAACCTGGTTACTGTGCAATTAGTCACTTGATATTGCATCCCATGAAACCTGTCCAAAACTACAAGTCTGTCCAGGACAACAAATTTCAAGTTTCACTGTTGTGCCAAAATAATCAGAATTATCTCTCATTCTTCTCCTGGTTTTTTATATTTTCTGATGTGATCGGCTTCCATTCTTCTCATGTTCATTTCATTTTTCCTTTCCTACAAACCCTTTTTCCAGGGAGCAAAAGCGGTATTGTGGCCTAAGAGAAGGGAAGTAACTGTGATAGAATCACAGAATCAGCTGTGTTGGAGAAGTCCTGTGAGATCTTTGAGTCCAGCCTGTCACTGAACAACACCTTGCTGCCTGCACCGTGGCACTCAGTGCCACGTCCAGTCTTCCCTGAAACACCCCAGGGACAGGGACTCCACCAGCTCCCTGGACAGCCCATGCCACAAACCACAACACTGCAGTTCATTGGAATAAAAAGAGTCTGCAGGTACCTAAAATACAGTTATGATCTAATGTTGTTCTTTTTTCTTCATATAGAATGTTGTTATTTATCTCTCTGATTCAGTTATCCAATTTTTCCCTGGTGTTTCCAGAGTAGAAGGAAAACTCTTAGTTTCAATTTGACTATTTTCAGTCCTTGACTGGCCCACTTTTTTTTGACAAGTATTGTTTTCCTGATTCAGCTTTTGACTTAAATTGAAATTATTATCTGGAAAACAGTAAAGGTTGGACAAATTTTTTTTCTTCTAGTTTTCAAGTTCAAATTCTATAGTATTTTAGCAATCCTACTTCTCAAGAACTTTAAAAACATTATAGGAAAAAAAAGATATTAAACTTGGATTCCTCATAAAACATGCCAGTGTTTTTACATCTCACACTCTATAGTTCTTTCTTAAGCATGATTTAGGAAATTTCATGGGTGTGGGTAGATTAAGAAAAGAACATTTAGATTTCTTCCTGGATGAAAACTACTTGGTTTATTTTTAAATTTATTTTCCACAACACTGACTTAAACATCTGCTTGTGTTTCAGTAGAATGTATACAAACATATGTGTGACTTCAGTATATTTTTGTTTGTTTGTTTTTGCAATACTAGCTGTTTGTTTGTCAGACAACACTACTTATATGGGCAAAGCCACAGCAGTTTATACTTAGCCCATAAAACCATAGTAAAGGCCTCGATTGGAGATGTGCTGTTCTGAGAGCTCTATGCCATTCTGACATTAGTCTCAATCTAATCATATTACCCAGATAGAAAATATGAGAAATTCCAATTTTATAGCCTAGCTTTACAGATACCAAACTCCCAGATCTTTCCCATGTCATCTTGTTCTTATAGGTGTTTCTGAAGTGCTGCTTACATTTATAACTGCATTATTTTGATACTAACTACTTTGACAACAGCAGCATTAGAAGGAAAGATGACTAACTGTATGAAGAACAATTTGTCCCCAGAGATAACTGTATTGCTCTCCCTAAATGTACAACAGCAGATGCAACATCTCATGGTTTAACAGGTTGTACTAAAGACAAAAATAAGATAAGGAGACTGTAGATGGTGAGTGAGAAATAAACAGCAAGTCTATTAGACTAATTATATTCCATTTTGAAACGGTGTCTTTTAGTCTAATCTCTAATTTTAATTCTCATTCAAGCCATCTATCTTCAAATGGAGCAAAACTATATTAATCTTTTTTTATGTAACATGTAGTTAGTCCAGAGAACCCATGACACTGTATTCAGGGGCGTTCTCATTCAAGCCATCAAACTGGCTATTTTAAAAAAAGTTTGTTGTATCTTTTGAAAAAAATCATATGGAATAATTAGTCTGCTTGGGAATAGGGCACTATGATTCTAAAACAATGAGCTCAAATTCCATTAGGATTTTCTGTGATAGGAAAACTTAAGGATGGTAGTAGTTTGTTACAAGAAATAATACTGAAGTTGTTCTTAAAGTAATGTGCTCCTCTGTAAAAGGAAAAAGTTCATTATATACCCAAAGGTTTCATGAGAGGGACAGCAATTCTTGTTATAGTACTAGAAGACTTTGGGATGTGTGGGTGGAGAATAGTATATTTAATAATTATAAAGATAACAGTATTTTGATCAACTAATATCAGACTCTCTCTAGTATTAATGGTATGTTCTTATGCTGCTGTTCTTCCATTTCTCTTTGAAAACTAGGTTAAACTTGGGGTAGCCTCCAAGTAGAACATCTGTCATAGGTAAGTTACTGCATTTGGATAATGTTTTTACTTTTCTGACTTTAGGGATGGGGTAACTCAACAACTCCTAGTGTATTTTACAGTGTTATAAAGTGAAGATACCGTATTCACACCGCAAAATACAAACAGAAGACCTTCTAAATACATAGTTAATTGTGCTTTTTCTCTTTAAAATTCTATTGACAGTTTTCTCCACCAACAGAGACAAGACGTGGGAATAAAAAGTTTGGGTGTTTTGTTCTTAAGTTTTCTCTTTTCAGGGTTCATTGCACTGTCACTAGAGGGCTGTGAGAGAAAAGAAGCGAAAAAACCAAACAAACAAACAAAGAAAAAAAACCCAACCAAAAAAACAAAAGCCTCCAAAGCATTCTAACCTTTCCTGGATGAATTTCTGCTATATATTTTATTGCAGCTCAAAGGAGTGGACATAATCCCGTACTTACCTGCAGGAAGCGGAGCCAGATTTAACAATTCCTGTTGGATATTTGTCCTCTTAACAACATAAGACTAGGTAGCAGAAGTGCTACATTTTGTTCCTCCTTGCTGTAATGAATTTTGTTTGGACAATCCATCACAAAGGGTAACAGGGAAATAGCACACTTGTACCAGGGTTTTGAACTGAAAAGGAGCGTGAGGAACACAGACACCATCTTAGCTGGACATGCCATCTGTGGTAACACGTTATCCACAGAGGCAGATTAATTGCTACCAGATTTATGGTGACTATCTGGAGCACAAAATAGTTTCTTTCCTCTTGTTTTTGTCCACAAATTTCTTAGAGATTAGATAAATCTGTCTTTCCTCCCCTCTTCCATTTAAATGTTGTTATAAATAATATTTTGTACTAATGGTCCTCAGAAAAAGAAATCCATTAAGAGACTGATGAAAGTTAAATTAGCATTAAAAATGCTTCCACCTGTGTGAGCTTTTAATAAAGGATTAATTATCTGAAAAAGATTCCTTAAACTGCAATTAATTAGTGCACAACTAATTGCTTTGTAAGATATCAACATCATACTTCAGAAAGGAAACAGCACACCGTAAAATAAGGTGCACAGCACAGTATTTTCAGCATAAAACTAATGCTAATGCTTAATCTTCGTTACCAAACCTTAATTAATGAAGGCTTAGCACCCTGGCCACCTTCTTGGAAGACTGCTAATCTACCATAGTGTGGTTCTACTACCCCTATGCTGACAAGTTTACAAATAAGTCTTACCTGGTTTTGTTGTTTCTAGGAATGTTCCTCTTTATTTCCCCTTTATCCAACAGGAAATCAAGTTATGTTGGCAGATGTTGGGTACTCTTTTTGTTTGGAACCTGGCAGCATGAACCTGTCTTTAGAGTTGCCGTCAACCTCAAATCTCTCCAGTCTTTTTTTTTCACCTCCTTTCTTATAAACAGGAAATGTGGTTCAGCTTTTACAAGTTAACGTACATTCTCCTTCAGTGTTTGTCTCCAAGAGAGAATTAAAGTATTTGTGTACCTTTGTATTTATTGTCTACCTGTCTTGCCTCAGAGGAACATGCACAGGACTATTAGTTTTGTTTGTGATATAAACTTGCTTTTGGAATATTCATACTCACACTCTAAGTTTTCTTGGGTTTAATGTTATGTTGAATTCAACAAAAGTATTTAGATAGTTCTTAAACTAAGTTACAGAACTATTTTGCCTAGGAGTGCTATGTGACCCTTCCTCTCTTGGGCATTCTAAACCAAGTCTGAAAAACATTGTTGAGAGTTTAGCAACAACAGGATTCAGAGGCATGATGAGGGAATAATAACACTGCCAGCTCTTGAAATTCAGGTTAGAATAACATAATGCCATTCCTCCATTCTTTAGAGTTTATGAATCTGGGGCCACAGTCCAGGACAGTTGTGGAAAGAAAGGATAAATCAGCGTGTGGCTTGTGTATTTGTCTTTAGAATTTAATGAAACAAGTCTGTATTTAGGTAGAAAAGCCTTTTTATTCTCAGAATCGGAGGAGCTTCTTCAAGAGGAAGCTTGCACACTGAGCACTGTCAAAGAAACTTTCTGTTAACTTCTGATGTTTTAGGTATAGTTTGGATTTTGGGGTTTTTTCTTCAGAAACAGTTTTATTTCCTACGATGTATAACGTAGAAGTAGGAGGGGTTTCTTAGGAAAAAAATGTGAGTCACATGACCATGTTTGTCTTTTTGGAATACATAAACTGAAATAGCCCAAAATGTAGTCTAAGGAACAAGGTAAAGCTCTGCTCTTCAAGAAAGACTCCAATGTGAGAAAATGTCCTCTGCAATCTGGGTTTACTTGGGATGCTATTACTTTGGATTATTATTTTTGTATTAACTGCCTTGGATCAATGCTTAAGAAATAATTTACTGGATTGACATTTTATTTGAACATGAAAGAACAGATTAGTCTTGATTAATATAATATATCCCATTCAAATCTAAGGGTGATCTACACTTTTAACTACTCAGAACTTTATCATAATGAAGTGAATAGAGCAGGAGGAATTAATCTGAAAATACTAAAATGGTGGGAATTCTTATAGAAGGATACTGAGCCGAGAGAGAAACTGGAAAGGGTGGAAGATGTGCACTGTGAAAAGGAAGACAGTTGCTTTGTTTCTCAGCTAAGAGCACGAGGAGTAAATCTGAGATCTGCAGGGGATTCAGAATAAAATGCTTATCAGCCTGAACAAGAAGCTTACAAGAAATAAACTCCTTTGGAGGTAATTAGGAGCATAATGGAAAGGTGAATACTGCGAATGTAGCGGGGGATTTCTGGGTTTGTAGTCCTCCCAGTGTGTTAATAATTCTGCTCTCCAAGAGCAAATCATTGCTGTACTGTAGCAGCTTTGAATGTCTGCAAAAGCAAAGTCTTTTGGAATAAATGCAAACTTGGGATGCTATTTTGGGCAACCTGCAAGAGACAGAAGGCTCTGTTAGATAGCAAGAAAATATTCACTTCAGGCAGTAAAATCCATTGTGAATATGAGGCTTCTTTTTTCTTCCTTTCCTTTGTATCAGTGCTACATTAAAAGACTTAGGGAGCAAGTAGACAGCTTAAAGTGCTGTTATTCAGGATAACAGAGACAAGGACAAATCATGACTATATTTGGAAAGACAGGACATAAGGTAATGCATACAAAGGCATTTCTTCCTTTTCTTTTTTTTAGTCCCCAAGCTATAAATTCCTGGGTGCAAATTCTGGTAAAATGTCTCTGCCTGCTTAACTACTTATGTGATCTTTGGTAAACATATGATGCTGGTATCTCGAGAAAAGAGTCTCTCTCAAGTGGACATCTGCCTTGGCTGGGAATAGCTCGTGCTACTCAAGTTCTTGGAGAAGGTGAATGGAGCACGATTAACTATTGATGTGCACAGATGTATATGAAGGAGTGAGTCTGTGCTGAAATGGAGTCAAGCAAACAGTGTATAAGTACATTTTGCAATGCATGCAAGCTGCCAGCAAGTTTTGCTTTTCTGAGACTGCAGAATGCATGTTTATTCTGGCTTCCTGAAGGTGAAATAAGTTGCACCCCTGATAACACCATCAGGCCTCAAATGCCTACTTTCTCTATTACTATTCAAATTGCAATCTTTCTTTGAAAAATCATATCAGTTTCTGTGCTAAGTGCTGTAGTGGAAATCCCCTTGCAAAGAATGTAAGAGACACTGTTTGTAGTAGGAGTCTTGAAAAGAATAGGTATTGCTGCAAGATGTAAATTGTATTTCTGTTTGAAATGGAAATCTACTTTTAATAATGAAATTTCAGAATTCTCTGGGCAAAGTAACTACAGAAGAAATGTTTTTCTTTGGGTTTATGCTGAAGTGGAGTCTGTTCTCACAGTTCTAGTCTCACAAGCATATTGGAGAAGTAGAACTGCTCTTTTAAGCTGAGTATGTGACTCTTTGCTTCCATGTCAGGTGCAGACCTGGTCTCCTTGTGCAGTGAACACAAACAAGGAACAGTGCTACAGGAGAGAGGTTGGTTTAAAATAGCTGCTAGAAAGAGAGAGACCTTTCAAGTGAGCTTCAAATGCTGCAGAGAGCTCTTCTCTCTCTCACAGTGAATTTTGTAATTAATGATAAAAAACTAATCAGGGTCCTTTTTGCATTGTAGACAAGCCTGCCTTTAATCACAATTTTACGTAAAACTTTTTTAACACTTAAAAAAAAAAGTGTTAAGCAGAATGCTGTCTCATTAACTACCCCTAAAATTGTGGCTCCTATTAAAAGCAGTGTTATGGGTTTCCTGTGGGGAAACCACTGGGTAGGTTTCTTTTTCTGAATGCTACAAAACCTTATTATCAAGGACTATAAAGAGAAAATTTCTTATCTTGATAATTCTGCACTGAAAAATTTCCATTGAAATCTAACACTGCATACTTGTGCAGTTTTGGGTAGAGTTTTCTGTGCTGCACACTTTGAGATAGCAGAGCAATCCCTGTGTACTTAGCAGAGAGAAAACAAACCAGATGCCACTTCATTCAAAACCAGAATACAGAAATAAAATGTGGCTTTTCCATTGACTTCACTAGATTTTGTTCTCTGTTCAGGTAGACATTGTATCCTGAGAGCGAGGTAGTCTCTAGTGACTTTTCTTTCAATAGCTACAATAAGAATGAATTTCCTATTAAAGTGCTATAATCCATTTACCCAGTTTTAGGATTTTTTTAGCTCCCTCTTGACACACTTACACAAGGGTGTGGGAAAATTCTTTCCCCTGGGCAGCCAAAGGCCTGGCCCTGCAACTACTCCTCTTGTGAGACATCCTAGTGAACCCAGCAGGCTCCACTCTGTGCTTGATAGCAAGCTTACAACTCTATCAACCCTGAACAAAGTGCAAGAGGAATTTGTGAGCAAAATAGCAACCTTAAAACTGAGCTTGTTCTTTTAAAAGTTTCTTGGGACTACCACAAGCATGTCCATGTGGCTCTGTTGGAGCTAGTGTAAAAAACCCAGACTCGTGTACACGTGGCCTGAAGCCTTGTGGAGAATCACCCTGAACAATCTAAGTCCCTTGCTATGGCCTGAGCTGATAAACTGGCTGCTCCCTTGTCCTCACTGCTGAAGTGATGAAGCTGACTCCTGCTCTTGTGTCCTCAGCCACAAGGACACTCCTGACCTTGACTCCTGCAGTGTGTCCTTAGCCAGCTTAGCCTGCATGTGGACTTCCTCACCATGACTAAGAGAATGTCAGAAGCTTGTCCTCTGTGTTCCAATGAGTTAAACTGTTCTGCCTTGAGTGTTCCCAGACACAAATCTGAATGAAAATAGCTCTTACTTTGGGTAAAACAACTCCTGCTCTCTATTGAGTGACTGGCATTGCAGGTAATGAATTGTAACTCGGGGGGCTGTCTCTGCATTTGAACACTGTCTCTTCCACCACTTTTTGAAGCCTGTGTTATCACAGAATGGTTCACGTTGGCCTGTCCTTCTGGGCACAAGAAAAGTTCTGAGCTCTTTAAAATGTGATGGAGACATAGTCTAGGCTGTCTTGTCGAGAGTTCTTGTTACAAATCAGACTCTGGTGTATACATGAATGCTCCCACCTCACTTTGCCATGACATTGCAAGTGAAAGCACTTGAGCTACACGGTTTTCTCCTCTGAAATCCTTCCTGAATTTTATCTAGAAGGACACTATTTCCCTCACACGATGCAGTTGCCAGGGGGCAGTAGGAGAACCACCGAAATGGAAGTAAAGTGCACATGTCTGACAAGTCAGAAACAATGACAAGGAAATGAAAAAAAATTATGAGCCTGCCTCAACTTAATCTGTGATTTCAAATATTTGCCAGTAAGGTATCTCTGTAGTGCATCTTAATGACTGCTTAGATCTAATTAGAGTGTGTATAAGTTAAGAAAAAGATTTCAAATAATAACTGTGAAGCTAAGCTAAGCCTTGAAAAGTGGCCACTGATGCATTGGAGTAATGAATTTGAACTGAATCATTTAACTACTGAACCTTTCAACTTAACAGTGTTGAGGTTACATCTCTATTCTATTTAAAGAACTTTCTGGTAAGCAGACAAAAGTGCACATCTTGCCACATTCACGGCTGTTAAAACATTGTTTTCTTACTACTTCCTGTTGAGCAGCACATTTGGGCGCAACAAAGGGTACGCTGCTTCTCTTGTAGTTTAAACTGTCAGACTTGTTAGCTTTTACAGAAAATTAGAACACAGGTGCATGGAAAATGACTGTCTTGTCCCACAAAATGTTGAAAGCCTATGAAGTGACTGTCCTACATTGGCATGTAGCATTTTGGTGTTTCTCAGAGGCCAAAGCAGGTAGTGTTCCAGGAGTTTTCTTTGAGCACAGGAGAGTCTTTGATTAACGTGTCTGTGTGAAGCAGGCAGGGCATAGGCA